CAAAACTATTTTCAAAGCAACAAGAAAACTTTACTTTTGCACAAAATATTTATAACATTCCTAAATAAATTTGATGTTTTCAAACATTTTTGGTACAAAAATGATGATGCGTTTATTTTAAACGAATATAATTATGTAAATGAATCATCATTATGTTGTTATACAAGGGAAATTATTTAAAAAATAAAAAACTACAACTTGCACGAAGTGAAGATAGCTCTTGGCACCTCAGTGAGTCCAAAAAAGGTTACTTAGGTGGAAAAAGTATATCATGCAGTATGGTTTAACATTGTATTATATCAAATTACATTAAACTGCATTGTTTGGTATTGTATCACATTTTTCGCATCATATTGTAATGTATAGTGTTTCATACTGTATGGTCTTACATTGAGTTGTACTGTAATTTATTGTTTTGTAATATTTCATACTTTGTCACTGTATTACATAAATATTTTATCATATGATGAATTTACCCATTTTTTGTAAAAAAATAAAAATAAAATAAAAGCCAAATAACAACATTAAAATGAAGATGTTGCAGTCATGCTAATTAAGATTTGACAACAATAGCGACCAAAATAAATAAAAGTTGTATATATAGCCATCCATCCATTATCTTTACCCGCTTCTTCCTTTTCGGGTTGAGGGGGTCACTTGTGCCCATGTCCAGCCATCACTGTGCGAGAGGCAGGGAACACCCTGGATAGGTCCAGGTCCATCACAGGGACACATAGAGACAAACAACCATTCACAGATAGAAAAAAGAAACATTGACATGCTGCATATTTTTGTCGGTTTATTTTATATATTTACTTTTACAAAACTTATTTCTATATTTAGGACTAAATATTAGTACATTAGAGCTGTGATAGGTTGTTTTAGTAAAGACAGCACAGCAGCAACTGGACATTTAGAGGACAATGCTAAATCATCACGTTCAAGAAGGCCCAACTGACATTAACCACAAACACACAGTGCTGCTCAGTCTATATTTGTCACAATTATCGCCACATTATAATTTGACAAGATGAAGACGCTAGAGACCCACTTTCTTTCGTGGCCCCTATCTAAAAATGCAGTTGAGGGGGCCACGTGCTCTCTGTCCACCCACCCCCTTTTAAGCACCACCCAGCCCATGTGTGTGTGAGTATGTCATATGTGAGAAGCAGCTGCAAACTCCCCCACATATCCTCTGAAAAAGAAAGTTAAAAACTCTCTTGGCTGCAGTGAAATAAGGTGTTTTCAGCCTATCTGCTAGCCTCTGCGGGTGTCAAAAAGAACCAGTAAGAAATGGGAGACTTTGACGTTTGACAGAGCAGAAACAGTAAATCAATCATTTTTAAGGTCTCCGTCATATATTTATGTGTAAATGCACACACAGTCAAACACACAACCAGGAGATATTAAATATAAATCACAAAAACCTTCCATTTAAAAAAAAAACTTTTTGGGAGAATATTGGAAGTGTGTTGCAGCCAACACATGAGGCACATGGTAACATCAACAGAAATTGAATGCAGCATGAGTTAGAAGGATAAGTCTGCATACACAGAGCAAAACCCACAGCCACTAGATGTGGTAGCTCATTGTACTTTTGTGTCTTTTACACAGTTTACACACACAATACAAATATTTGGTCATTGTCACACATAATTCATATCTGTTCAGTAAGACAAGGAGCTGTTGCGTCATTTAAGCATTTAATATACTCATAGGATATTCTAGAACAGACAGACAGTGACAGTAACACAAAACATATTTAAAATAAGTGTATCTGAGTGTGTGGTAGAACAACGTGACTTAACGGGCACAACATATTTTCATATAAATACACGCATATATAAAAAAAAAACAAGCAAGATAGACAGAAATGGGCTCATCTAAATTCATTTTTTTAGATGACTGCTTAAAGTTTCATATCATCACGTTAAAATTCACCGCTTGCTTTAAGCATCTGATTGGCTACGGAAAAGTTTCAGAAATTTCATGAAAGTAATACAAGAAAATCCTTCAACTCCAGGGGACCTTTGCTCACACTATCCAACCATGTGGCACTCACTTCATTTTTTTTTTTTTTCTTCTTAACTTTTATGGTAATCCAGTGAATTATTCATAAAAGTCCTGAGATGACTACAAGTACTCATTGAGAGGGCTTGAGTGGAAAGGCAAGTGCACTGAACCCATCTAGGAGCTCAGAACACGCATAACAAACCCACATGTTCACGCTCAGCCCAAACACTTGTTATCTGAGCACTTAAATGAGACTCCAAGGAGTGATTTGGCTGGAAGACTTATTAAATAATTTTATTATTATTTTTTTTAAACCTGTTTTTTGTTCAGGTAAGATACAAATAAGTCAAGGGAAGGAAGTTGTGGGTCACGTTGAATGCTGCTGAAGCTTTAGACACCTTAACCACATGGACTGAATGGCAGCAGCTCAAACCAGTTGCTACAGCAGCAGCATGACCATTCAGCCACAAATAGCAACAAGATCTGAATAAATTAACAAAACAAACAACTAGCAATTGATTGCAAGGAATAACGGCTAGGTTACTTTTAATGCATAACAACAAATGAGCTTAACTGATAAATGAATTAAAATACACTGATCTCTGAAACACACGATTGTCTTCAAAGGCATGAGAGGGTGGAGATTTTCCCACCCCACCTTTGAAGGCAATGGAGTGTTACGACAATATAATCATGAATATGGATGGGCGCCCTCAGTCGACACCAAGCCAGGCTCTCGTGGTGCTCACATCAGCTCCCATCCTTTAACAATACATTTATGGTGAAACAGAGCAGAACATCCCCACTGCCCTCCTTCACACTCCTTTCCATCTTTTGACAGTCTGTCAGTGCCAGCACTCTTTCATTCTGTAACAAACAGATGGGCAGAGATACAAAAAAGGGGGTCAAATACATGAAGGTGTGGACAGATGCAGATAAAACCAGAACACATTTGCAAACACAGAGTTAAGATTTTACTCGTCCAAACCAGTTACATATAAAAAAAGAAAATCGTATGAGAATTTCTCTTTCAGTCACTTCACAGTCGGTTGAATTTTGCCACGTGATGCACCTCAGAGCAGGTGTAAGGATGGTCTTCTCATATTTTCTGTCTGCGGAGGCAAAGTGATAAGCTACATCCTGTCTGCAATCTTATTAGATTCAATCTGGGAGGATCCACAGTTGCACTGCCATGCAGCGATAGATGACGAACACAATCCGTCAGATAATATCATATAAGGTCGGCTGTGGGCTCGGAACTGCTGGAGCAATGAGGCTTAACTCATTTTCAAACAGTAAACACAGGAAAAAAAAGTGTTGTGGTGATAAAAATAAAAAAAAGACAGCACTTGAACTGCTTCGTAAACATGCTGAGTTGTATGACTACAGGGTTCGTGTTTGTCTGTGCAGTCAGATGTGCATATCAAATGATGTAACATTGATAAGCCAAGTCAGTGCCAGGCTTTATATTTCACACATCACTGGCCTTTGTGTCACAAGACTTAAGGGATTCCTGTATTTTAGCAAAAAACAAAAAAAAAACACCATACATGAGTAGCCAATTGAGGTTCATCCTTCTGGGTTAGTTTTTTTTTAATATTTTACGTCAGCCAATCAATGAGCATTAAGAAAAGGAGATAATGGGGCGTAAGATCTTACCTAAACTGTAAAATTGAGGTATATAAAAGGTTAAAGAAAAGAGGGAGGTTCATATACTGTATACAATAAAATTAGGCAAACTTTGGGGAGCCATGAGAGAAAAATGGATGTCAAAATATCATTTTTATGGTGCAGTTTTCAGGGACCAATCAGTGAGAAGGTGATAGCAGCTGCCTGGATGACATGCCCAGAGATAGGAGAGAATAACAGTGACCTATGGCTGATTTAGCCGAGATGAGAAAATGACCTTTCTAATCGGTACATACGCCAAGAATGGCTTCACTTGACATTATTTTTTGATGCTGCCATTTTAAGCTCACAAGCTAATCGTCTCATTATCTTGAGCTGATTAAAATAATCTTTGTGGGATAATGAGTTGATTATTTTATAATTACAAGGGTGTGGGCGTTTAACAGATAATAAAAGAACACTGCTGTCATAACTGTGGCGAACAACAGATTTGGGAGAACTTGCACAGCTGGCGCTAAACATTGTCACACAAAAAAAAAAAAACATTTGGTATGTCAAAACAACAAACAAAGAACTGACAATGGAAGAAAAATCAATACTTTAAATCTATACGAAGATAAATCTGATCATTAGACCAAAATGTTTACTTCAGTTTTGTACCAGTAATTTGGAAAGAAAGAACAATTATACTCTTGATAACAATTTAACAGTCAGCTGGTACAGCAAGCATAATATTATTTTACAAATGTGTCTAAATGTGAGCATTATTTGTGCAAATGGGCCAATATTAAGTCTCTCATGTACAAAGTAAATGAGTCCTCGAGGCGCAATGAGACTAAGCTGAAGAAATAAAGGTTGAATGAAAAAGTATGCAAATTTGAGAACCTAATCCTAAAAATTCAATGACGTAAAAAAGAACAGTTGCTAGTCAGCAGCATTAGTGCTTGTGTTAGCTTATTAAGCAACATGCAATATTTTTTGTAGTAATATATATATATATATATATATATGTGTGTGTGTGTGTGTGTGTGTGTGTGTGTGTATGTGTGTGTGTGTGTGTGTGTGTGCAATTTAATAAAGATGACCCAATCCTGGTGACAGTTTAAAAAAGTAATATAATATAAGATCCAACGGATAAACATTTATGTAAAGTAAAAGTAAAGTAAAGTTGTTCAAGCATTTATGAGCGTTGTTATTGTCAGCTCCAACTTTTCGTATTTGTTCTTAAGCTACAGCAAAGATTGTAACTGGGTCGCCTTTGTGCTTCATATTTTCAAGATACTTGTCAGGAAAGAAGGAACGAACGAGTGACGATGTCATGGATTGAAGCTGTTCCGCTCTGCGCTCCATTAGCCGTGTCTGGTCAGTGATTTGCAGAGGGAAGAGGAGCAGAGAGAGGAGGGGAGGAAAAAGCGGCGCAGCAGTGAGCGGACAAGAAGCCACCAGCCACGGAACCTAGAAGCGAACTTAGTCTGTAATCTCCGGAAAACAACATTTTCTTTATAAAAGGGTTGTTATGATAGAAGGACCCGTTGTTACGTGGATACAGATGGCAAGGCTGGATTGTTTGTGTTTTCTGTGACTTGTTGAGACGGAACCGAACTCGGAACGAAAGAAAACAACAACACTGGAAAAGAGAGACGGGGATTACACTCTACAGTGACAATAAAACAACACTCCTCGGATAAGTGGGCTGCCTAGTTTCGAGGGTGAGGTGCGAACGAAGATTAAGCAACTTGTTTTGAATATATCGCGCATGTTAAATTTGTGTGAACTTTAAACTCAGGAAACCATGAAGACATAGCCAGAAAGAACTCATCAAGTGTTTCGAGGCTGCTAGGTGTTAGCTCGCCTGTCTTGTAGCGAACGAATGCACTGTAAAGCTAAGTAAGCTAAGTTAGCTGTTGGCTAACGCTAGCTTGCTAGCTGAACGTGATTCGAGAAACTTTTTGTGTTGCTTCTCCGAAGTCCAAACGCTGAAGAATATTTTTGGGAACGGAGGGGAAGGGCAAGTTCCCTTCTGGACTTTTTCCCCTCTACGTATTTTTCAAACATGATGGCTGCAGAGGTCAGCAGCGAAGAGACGGCTTCGGTCACGACGGGTACAGGGGTGGTAGGCGGAGGAGGCCCTGAGACGGCCCCTTTTCCTTACTATCCCAAGCCGAGCAGAGTGCGAGTCACCGATCTGGGACAAGGGCCAGCACCAGCAGCCGTCCGACAGCATTCAAACACATCTCCGGACTCCCTTCCTGACATGAGCATGGTCTGTCCCCTGTCTGGCGGGGATGTGACGGGGCCAGCGCTGTCCGCCACAGGGAGTGGCGGAACAGGAGGTGGACAGTCTGGTTTTCAAGGAACAAACTCAGGGACTGTGGGCGGCATGTGCTACTCTCCCACCTCGGAGGGTCCAACTAGTCAAATTTCACCCACATCAACGGGCCCGGATGATCCCAGTGTCTTCCCTCCACTGCCACCACCACCTCCTGCCTCTTTAGGCTGCGGGGGTCCCGGCTGCACCCAGGAAGACACCGAGGTACCGGATTGGCCGGAACAGGACGACGACGACATGGAGTTTCCCCTCTCTGCGCCTCCCTCCAACCAGTAAGTGTAACACCAGGATACTGGTTGTTGATATGAATAAAGAGAGCCTCCATTTTTCTAAGTTGAAATGTATTTTAAAAGCCCTCAAACTTTTTTCCAGCACAAGTTTTAAACTCTAGCTGTGCAGGTAGAACAATTTCTATCTTTTTACTACTGAGTAACTTTTGGATCTCTTCTGGAGAATTAAAACCACTCAAACTGGCTGCAGAAGTTAAAAAATGATGATGCAGCATTACTTTAAAAATCCAAAATAAGTTTCATTGTTCATACCTAATGTAAATAAAGCTCAAATGTCTAGAGTAAAGGTCAAGTGTTTTTAACGCATCTAAATATGAATGACATTTTTTTCTTTTAAAACTCTTGTATCCAAATTTTCATAGATAAGTTAAACAATATAACATTTGTTTACTTTAATTCATTTTACAATTAAAACTGTCGGAACAAAAAATAGACTTTTCACAGCATGGCACTTATAGAATATCAACTAAAAATGTTCAAATTTTTGCATTTTTCTTTGCCGATTTATCGGCCCCGATTTCCTTAATTTGCAGAAATCGGCTGATATTTGCATGAGAAACCGATTTTACCAATTTTTTGTTTTTGTTTTAACAACAATTGTCTAAACTTCATTTGTATTTCAGAGCACTACCTCATGGCCAGTTAAAACAAGTTTGTATCGTTTCTAGGATATTTTTCAAGGGTATGTTTTTCAATAAAATAATATTGGAAAATTGAGTGTGCATTGTGACCTTATAACACAGTGCTGCTTATAAAACAACATCGGTATTTTGGCCAAAATGGGAATCAGCAGGTCAGACTTTTTAGAGATCGTGATCGGCCAAAAAATGCAATCGGTGCACCCCTAGTTTACAGTGCAGTAAGCAAAATGACCTTTTTGTCTCGTCAAGATATTTGTAATCAACGTGGTCACAAAAAGCAGTTTTAAAAGAAATCAAGTAGTTTGTTTATTTTGCTTATCAAATAATTTGCAGCAATGATATTATTTTGCATTTCTTTTACACAAAAATAAACGACAATTTTAAGTGGAATGAATTTGCAGATAAATTGTTACTACAAAGTTCTCTTTTATAGAGATGCAAAGTGCAACAGGATTTAGGGTAGGGTCAGAAGTTAAAGTGAAAACAAATTGAAGGAAATATTTTTCTCAAGGCTTCTCTAGGTTTACTTTTAGTTTTGAACTTTAACAGGGGCTGTCAAAAACGAAATGGAAAGCATCTAAAAAATAAACCAAATTTAAATGGTCATAGTTGTGTAATGGTATTAAACAAAGCATTGTGTTCCTTATTTACATTCAGTAGAGGAATGGAACATGCTATTGTTTTGTGCCCCATCAGATCCCACTGATTCAGTTCAGTGGGATTTACCTGTCTAAATAAAGGTTGATTGATTGATTTGCAGTTCAAGGAAAATATGTCCATCCATCCATTTTCTTTACCCGCTTATTCCATTTTGGGTCACGGGGGTCGCCGGTGCCCATGTCCAGCAATCACTGTGCGAGGGGCGGGGTACACCCTGGATGGGTCGCAAGTCCATCACAGGGCCACATAGAGACAAACAAGACAAACAAACATTCACTCTCTCACTCACACCTAGGGACAATTTAGAGTTACCAATCAGCCTAACATGCATGTTTTTGGTCTGTGGGAGGAAACCGGAGTACCCGGAGAAAACCCACGCATGCACGGAGAGAACATGCAAACTCCACCCAGAAAGGCCCCTGGACCGGGGTTTGAACCGAGGACCTGCTCGCTGAGAGGCAGCAGCTCTACCCGTTGCGCCACCGTGCTGCCAGAAAATATGTTCTCTGTGTAATTTTGTTAGTGACATGGAAGTAACCACAGCAATTTGGAAACAGTTTTCATAGTTTGCATATGCATATTACGATTAGCCATGTGCTTATTACTTTTCTTTCAAATAATTGTAGCAGTGGCTTAATCAATTAGAAAACACTTTGATCAAGATCCAGTACGTATATGGTCCATCTAAAAAGCCCAAACTGGGTTTTACAGTGTTAAACATTATTAAAGGTAGTCTCCAGGGGCATCAAATTGCAGCATAGTTACCAGAAGGCTACATGTAGCTACCAATGGTTATTTTGTCTGTAGCTGTGTATATAGATACTGGTAATTCCCAGTTCAATTTGTTTTGGATTTCATAAATCCAAAATGTTTAAAAAGCCCAATTTTTAGTGAGAAAAGACCCTGTCCTGTTTGACAAGTTGTAACAATAAAAATTTCTGGTACTTATTCCCCTTTTTTCATGTTTATTGTAATAATGCATGTCTTCTGTCCGAAGATGCACATTCTCTAACTGCAGTATTTTGTTTTCTAACACGTGGCTGTAATGAGATTCTCACCAACTGCACCACTAATTAGTGAGTCAGTGAATGAGTGGATGACTCTAACAAGTTGTTATTGTACCTGAATGGGATGAGATGTAATGTTGTGTCCCAGCAAAATTAACAAAATTATTTAATTCAGGATAAATATCGGTATGCTGAATCACAGTGAGTGATGTAGAATATATTCGCAAAATTGATTTTTGTACTGTGTATTTATGTTGGTGTCCTAATGCTGAAATTGATCAAATATAATATTCACACATTCCTCATCTGCTACTTATTGATCAAGCTGAAAGTAAAAATTCCTATTCATTAGCAGTGTACAGGTGAATGTGTCAATTGAAAAGCCACCAGTGACATACATTTTAATCAGTCTAGTCGGTGCACGTCATCAAGGTAGCACCTTTATCCTCTTCTGTGGCCTCTGTTAAATCAACAACCTGTTCTATCATGCCTGAATTATGGACTTCAACATAACATAAGCGCCAAGAATACTTACATAAATATACCTAGCATTCAGTGGATGAACACATATCATTCTGCCAACTTTATTACTGTTTGCTTGATTACCAAAAGCCATTTCTGCACTACCTTAGTTTTGTAGCATAACTCAAGTTATTGTTTTTCATGCTTTATGTGGTATCATGCATCAAAGGAGAAGTAGAAATAAATTCTAATAAAACTGTCGCATCACTGTGTATTAACATCTTCTTTTCAGTCTTCACACAACATACTTAATTTTTTTTTTTAAATGAAAATAAACTAGCATGACATTAAGTATTTGTGAAGCAAATTTGATTGGAGTGCAGCAGTTTGTGCATGTTACGTAAGTGTAGGCAATTTTATAAAATTGTAATGTATGACAACAAGCACATGTCAAAGCCCATGCATGTACTAGTTTATAAATAAATTAACTTACCACATTTGTTTGTCTCATTAAAGAACTGCTGAGCTTTGTCATTTTCAGCTCTTACTGTGAGATATGGAAGTGGCTGTGCTTGGACTGTGGATTCAGCTTTTATTTTAGAAGCTGCTTTATATCTCCCTGTCAGATTACTGGGAAGGTGGAAGGCTACAGTTTTACCTATTTTGCTTTTTCCTGGTAATGAAAAACTTAAAATACAATGCAAACTGCATTCAAATCCATAGTTTTCCACACATTACTATTGTTGAAAAATACGGTAGCTATTTGAGCTAGCGCTAGCATTTCAGTTTATTGGCTTGCAACCTTTTCAATAAAATAGTTGATTTTACTTTTTAGTTTTGAAATGAGGGAATTGTAGTCAATTTCCAATGATAATCAAGAAATGTATCTACACAGCATATATATATATATATATATATATATATATATATATATATATATATA